AGACATACACTTTTGGGTTTTTTTGGCTTTTTGGTACCAGGGATTGAACTCAGGACCTTGTGCTTGTGAGGCAGGCGCAGTGCCACTGAGCTAAATCACTGGCCCTAGACATCCACTTTTGAAAGAAATTGTTTCCCAAAGTATGTGTGCTGCCAAAGCAAGCACAATTGTTGCCCAAAGTAAATTTGCTCTACCTTTATCCCTCCTTTTATGCCAGTATTCAAATGGTATAACTCTGACCAGGGTCACATGCCATATGACACTGTCTTGCTGCACTCCTCATAACTATCAGAGTCAGAGTTCAGCATGGCCCTCCTAAGGGCATTGGCCTTGCTGGCCCAGGGACTAAGTTTGCACAAGTTGTTTTTTTTGTTACCGATAGCATGTCCAGCAGCAGGAGTGTAGAGTGTGCTCCCCTTTTCCTGATTCCACCTGCTAGAGGATCCAACCTTGAAGATCTGGGAGTCTGAGGCCAGGAAAATATTTTGTGATGCCAGTTCCTTTATGAGGATGGGCTAGCCAGAGAAAGGACTAGGTTTTGCACAGTCAAGTACAAGGGAGCAAGTAGTTTGCCTATTGTCCCTTCTGTCTTGAATCAGGTCCTGTGCGCCTTTGATCTCTGGGGCTTTTTTGGCTTTGGGCAGTGCCACCACTCTTGAGATTAGCAGAACTGTATACTTGATGGGGCCTCCTTGACCTCTTGGAGAATCTATGGAGAAATCTGTGAATATTATAATGGAAATTCTTTGATACTCTCACATTTTCACCTCCACTCAGCAATTTCCCAGGTACCATGTAAGTTGTAAAATTGAGTCATTCTTGAAGACAGCTGTAACTCCCAAGAGATATGGCCACCTGCAGGATCCCTTTGTTACCCCCACGTTTTGTTTCTATGTAGTCCCCAGCAAGGGAGAGACTGTGAGGTGGATTGGGAGAACCAAGTTCACAGCCTGTACCTCTCCCATCGAGTCCTTTCTGTGACATCACCATGGTACAGCTCTGCACATTAAATCACATTATGGGTATTTTCTGGACTGCCAGCCTGCCATCTTCTGTACTTACATCCAGCTGTGACCTTGATCACTGGAGCTGCCGGGGGTTCTGTGTCCAGACTGGCTGGTAGTGCTTGACCTGTGGAGAGCTTCCTTTTGTGCCTCAGTTGCTGTCCTTTGTCAACATCATCGGGAAGATGGGAAAGGTCAGGCACAATTTTTTTTGCCCTGCAAAGGGTAGAAGACAGACAGTGTTTTAATGAATTTATCATACCTGTTTTCCTTCAAAGAAAAAGATGAGGAAATGTCATTGCTCAAAGTTGAGTGGTTTATTCAAAATAAACTAAGTTTCTGATTATAAAAATATGTGTAGAGTCTTTCTTCAAAGGGTCTAAGTATTCCCCAGAGCCCCTTGAAGGGTCAGGCCAGTGAGCACCAAATGAGGAGCTCTCTGTCATTTGACCCCCCTCTTCCACTGGCCATTCACCTCTGCTTTTCTTCCTTTTCTGGCTGTCTGGGAGAGCCACCTGTATGTTGTCCTTGCAGAAGTAAAGTAGAGTATCTTAGTTTTATCTCCTTTCATTGGCTACAGACCACTGAGCCCTACAAAACACATGGACATGTGACAGAGGGGGGGATTATGGCTTTATAGGCCCTGAGGGTTATAGAGACAACTCAGGATAGAAACTGAAGTGTATTGTTTTTTTGTTTTTGTGGTTGTATCAGACAGTGCTGACTAGAGATTTAATACAAGACATACAAATATATAAGAATTTACAAGATTTGCGAGAAAACAAAACCTTCAATATCTCTAACTTGGGAAAGTTGAAAAGCACAGAGTACTAGAAGGCTCTTTGTGATCTAGCTCCTCCCTACTTCTCACTTGCCTTGATCCTGTCCTGAATTTTCTGCTCTCTCCACACACCACCTTATTTCTTTCTTGTGCTCCTGCTGTTCCCTCTGCTTAATAAGAAATCTTTACTATGATTCCTACCCAATTCCCTGATGTGCCCATGGAACCCTGCCCATTCAGCTCTAAATAAAGAGACTGCACTATGTTTGATAGTTAAAAACTGAAGCCTTGTATGATCAAGGCCTGGGTTCAATCTCTAGCACTGAAAAAAATTTTTAAAAATTTTTAAAAAGAATTTACAAGATTCGCTTACAGTGGCCGCCCACAGAGGTGTGAAAGAGTGCAAAAGGTCTGTGCATGATGTGGATCTGAAGGGTCCAGTTGGGATCAACTCGAAGGCCTGGAGCTCAGTGTAGTGTTCTGTGTGAGTCCCTATCAGTAGGCTGAAGGGTCTATGCTGGAGGCTGGAGAGTGTGCTGGGCACCAGGGGATGACCTCCAAGGTGAAAGTAAAAGACTGGAGTTCCTCCAAAGAAAACAAGCAATCCTTGTTTCATTTACCGTTTTTTTGTTTTTTTTTTTTTTTTTGTATCGGGGATAGAACTCAGGACCTTGCGCTTGCAGGGCAGGCAATGGAACCACTGAGCCAAATCCCCGGCCCTCATTTACCTTTTATACCATACTGGCAATAATCCTTCCTAGGGTGGGTCTTCCACCCAGGACTAAACTGAGCCAATGTAGTTGGGCATTAATTACTGCAGTTTACACAGTCAACCATCACAGTGGTGCTGGGGATTAAACCCAGGACCTTCAGACTGAACAGCATTCCTACCCCTTACGTATTTGTTTTGGGAAAGGATTTTTTTTTTTGGGTACCAGAGATTGAACTCGGGTTCTTGCGCTTGTGCAGCAGGTGGTGAAACCACTGAGCTAAATCCCCAGGCTGAGAGGATCTTTTGTCACTAAGTTGCCTAGGCAGGGTCCAAACTTCCAATCCCCTTGCCTCAGCCTCTGAGAATGCTGGGATTACAGGTGTGTGCAAAACACCCAGCTAGAAACTGAAGAAGTTGGAGTCAAATCCCAAGGGAAAAGAATGGGATTCAGGTCTAGGTTCTGTTTGAGGGTCTACATCTGTGTTGGGGAATGTGGCTTGTGAAGTGAGAGGCTGCATACCTCACATGCTACTTGTCTGAACTTTACAGCAGTGGTAGGTGCAGTGGCACAGGCCTGTAATCCAACATTCTGGGAGGCTGAGACAAGAGGATCCCAGGTTTGAGGACTACATAGACCCTGTCTCAGAAAACAAACACAGCTGCTCCTCTGGGCCTCAGGTGTGCCAAATGCCATACTCAGCACCTGAGTACATGTAGTGTGATGTGCAAAAAGACACATGGGCTCTACCCTCAGGAAGCCTTCAGTCCAAGGACACAGAATTGGTCATTAGTCCTTTTATGGGGGCAACAAGGACCACCCAAGCACCTCTGCAGATCAGTAGGTAGGAATAATACTAGGGCCATTTGCACTTACGGTGATTCTCAGAAGGGCCAAGAGGACACTGCACAATAGAAAGTCTAGAGGAAGGACTACCCACATAGCCCCCAGTGGTTCGTGCAGCAAACATCCAAGCAGTGAGTGTATGCTGGGCTTTATTTTGCCTACAGGATACTGACATCAATAAGCCAGTCCAGTGCCTATTCCTTCCAGACAAATCACATACCCAGTTAGTCCTTGACAGCAAACTGTCATTGTCCAAAGTACAGAGCGGTTTTTTTTTCTTTTTTTGGTACCAGGGATCAAACTCGGGACATTGCACTTTCGAGCCAGGCGGCAGAACCACTGAGCTAAATCCCCGGCCCCAGTACAGAGCTGTTTCAAATGAGAAAAGGTATAGTGGTGTAGACATGTAGTCCTAGCTACTTGGGAGACCGAAGCAGGAGAAGCACTTGTGCACAGGAGTTTAGGGCTAACCTGTACAATATAGCATTATACCTGTAATCCCAGCACTTGGGGCACTGAGGCAGGAGGATTACTAAAAGCCCAGCCTGAACTACAAAGTTAGACCCTGTCTCCAAAACAAAAAGTCCTGCCGGGGATTTAGCTCAGTGGCATCGTGCCTGCCTCGAAAGTGCAGGTCCTGAGTTCAATCCCTGCTACCAAAAAAAAAAAAAGAACTCCAAAACAAAAAGTCCTCATCTCAAAAACAAAAACTAACCCAAGCCGCCGCCTGCCTCACAAGTGCAAGGTGTCCTGAGTTCGATCCCCAGTACCAAAAAAAAAAAAAAAACCCAAGGTTACCACTGTCAGTAAATGCCAAAAAAATATATAAAGTTTGTTTTTAGAAACTAGAAAGGAAGTTCACTTTGCAATACAGATGAGCACATATCTGCACAAGGACCCGATTTGGCAGTATATATCAAGATAGCACCTGCCATGGCCACCTGAGTGGCCAGAAGTTTTAAAAGGTCAGGATATTCCAGTTTATGCTGTTGCAGAATTCCTGCAGCCACTAGCCAGTGGATCAGAAATGGGAAAAGCAAACCATAACTTGGGGCTGGGGATGTAGCTCAGTGGTACCGCTCCTGCCTCACAAGTGCAAGGTCCTGAGTTCAATCCCTGGTAGAAAAAGGGGAGGGGGGGCAGAGGCAAGCCTCTGAAAGCTTGCTTACCTTCTGTTTTCTGGAGATAGCAGATAAGCCCCTGTCTGTAGCAGTATAAGAAACAGCTGTAAGGTGTGTCAAGCCCAGGCATCTGAGGACATCAGAGAGCACTTGACACAATCCCATCGTTTAGTGCAGGCAAATGATGGGGCTTTGTTATTATAATAAATCAGCCTGGACGACCAGGCATATACCACAGGGCTATCCAAGGTTTCACAGCTTTTGTTTTGTACTGTGTCTCAGAAAAACTGATAAAGACACCCAGCTCCAACTGTCATTCTCTGATGCTCCCCTGATGCTGGAAATAAAAGTTGGTTCCTGCTTTGTGATATCTGCTCCATGTGTATTCTGTTCTTTGGGAACCTCACCCGACTGGACCTCCAGTCCACCACCCCTGAC